CTCCTCCCTCTCATGCTCTCTTATCTCATTCTCTCTGTCTCAAATAAATAAAAATAAAAAATCTTTAAAAAAAAAAAAAGCCCAAAACTTTCAACAGTATAGAAAGGTAAAAATTTTAAAGTAGAAGTCCCTTTCTGCTTGCATAATTCATGCAAATCCACTTCCCAGTCATAATCACTGGCTCTGCTGCTAAATGATAGCGTACATTTATTGAGGAGTTCCTATGTGTCAGGCATGTTCCCAAGCATTTTACAGCGATTGTTTTATGAAGATTTGTTATGTGTTCTTCCTAAGCTCTTATAGGGATATACACATATCCTTTTCATCTTAAAGGGTTTATGCTCTCATATTGTTAGTGAACTTGTTCTTTTCACTTACAGTGTATCTTGGACAATTTCCGTGTCACAACACGTATGCCTCCCTCATTCCTCTTCACTTGCATAGTTGGTATTGAATGGATATGAAACCGTATTTTACTAAACAAGTCCTCTGGGGGCACCTGGGTGGTTCAGTGGGTTAAGTGTCTGCCTTCAGCTTGGATTGTGATCTCAGGGTCCTGGGATCGAGCCCCATATGGGGCTCCCTGCTCAGCGGGGAGTCTGCTTCTCCCTCCGCTGCTCCCCCTGCTTGTGCCCCCCCTTCTCACTCTCTCTGTGTCAAATAAATAAATAAAATCTTTTTAAAAAAATCGAGGCAGCATGTTAAGTCTGATCAAGTGACTTCTTGGTGTTTATTAAAATACCACTTTACGGGATGCCTGGGTGGCTCAGTTGGTTAGGCATCTGCCTTTGGCTCAGGTCATGATCCCGGGGTCCTGGAATTGAGTCCTGCATTGGGCTCCTTGCTCAGCGGGGAGTCTGCTTCTCCCTCTGCCCCCTGCCACTTCCCCTGCTCGTGCGCTCGCTCTCTCTCTCTCTCTGACAAATAAATAAAACCTTTAAAAAATGTATCACTTTACTGGGACGCCTGGGTGGCTCAGATGGTTAAGCATCTGCCTTTAGCTCAGGTCATGATCCCAGGGTCCTGGGATCAAGCCCCACGTCCGGCTCCTGGCTCGGTGGGGAGCCTGCTTCTCCCTCTGCCTCTCCCCCTGCTCATGCTCTCTCTATCTCTCTGTATCTCAAATGACTAAATAAAATCTTAAAAAAAAAAAAAAGTATCACTTTACTTTAAAATCTGGCCATGGTTTCTGCACCTGATGTACACACAATAAATGTTGGTTGAATAAATGAATACCTGTCTCTCTCAATCTTTCTACATCGAAGCCCTACTAATTAGAGTCTAGGCCAACTTCCTCCTGAAGACTCCCTCTTTGAGAGGAGTGTTAGACATGACCAATAGGCTGTAACCGAGGACAAGAGTCTTTTCTTATTTCTTCTGCCCCAGAGATAGTTCCTTTCCTCATTTACCACGTGTTCTGCAATTAAACTATTTATCTCCCAACTAGGGAGGGCAAGGACCTTGTCTTATTAATCACTGTGTCTATTTGAAGTCTTGACACATAGCAGGTTCCCTGGAAATGCTTGCTGAACAGCATTGAATGAAACAAAATATTTCCATGTGTCTGATACAAAGGCATACAAATAGTTTTAAAAATATTTTTTGTTATTTGAGTAGTTTTAGATTTACAGAAAAGTTAAAAAGCTAGTACAGAGTGTTCCCTTTTATCCCTCACTAGTTTTCCCCATTGTTAACATCTTACACTACTTTGGTACATTTGTCACATCTAAGAAACCAGTACTGGTACACTTATTAATTACATGCCCCACTTTGTTCGGATTTCACTAGCTTTCCTCTGATGTCCTTTTTCCGTGGCAGCGTCCCATCCAGGATACCACATTACATTTTGTCGTGTCTCTTGAGGCTCCTTGAGTCTGTGATGTCTTCTCAGATAGTCCTTGTTTTGGATGGCCCTGGCAGTTTTGAGGAGCACTGGTTAGGTATTTTGTAGAATATTCATCATGCTTAGACTGTGGTTATGGGTTTTTGGAAGGAAGCTCACAGAGATGAAGTCTTATCACATCATATCAAAAATACGTGCCATTAACATGCCTCATCATTGATGATGTTAACCTTGATCATTTGGCTGGAGAAATGTTTACCAGGTTTCCCCATTGTAAAGCTATCCTCTCCCTCCTCTTTCCATATTCTACTCTTTGGAACCAGTGTGAACATTAATAAAAGGAAACCTCCTCTAGAATGGAATGGGGATGGCCAGCAGGGGGAGGTCTCACTCCCTGCCACTCTTGTCAACTGCAGACCCAACAGGGACAGAAGGACCTTTGCGGTGGTTGCTATCCCAACGGGAGGAAGATAGACTTCCCTGGAAAAGGCCAGCCAATGAAAGACTGTCACGCTCAGCCAATGAGAAGCTATTACACTCTGAGCTCCCAGTTTATTCCAAAGGACTTTTTGTTTATAAAATCCTTCCCGGTCTCCCCTTTTCTTCTATAAATAAGGCCTCCCCTCCTTTGTTCTGGAGACTTGCATCTGATTTTGCCATAGCTCATTTGTCCGGGATTGCAATTCTCTGCTATTTCCGAATAAACCCATTTTTGCTACTGAAATAGCTGGCACAAGTCACTAAGCAAACCCTATATCCAAAGGGGAGGAGGTAAGCTCCTCTCCTGGAGGAGGTAGTAACTATCCAATTATTTGGAATTCTTCTGTGCTGGGAGATGTCTCTTCTCCCTCCATGCATTTACTAATTCATTTATGTGTATTAAAATGTTTCCGGATATATGAATAACACAGCTCCAGAAACTTATTTCTTTTGCCTTTGGAGGATCTCCCTAACCTCCCAGCTCAAAGGCAGGCTAGCTCTGGGAGTTGCTTTTCCCCAGGGAGCGGCAGGGCAGTGACAACCATGAAGGGGGGGGCCCCAAGTCCCTGGGCGGAGGGCGGAGGGGCACCAGGGCGCTGCGGCCTTGGGCCCCAGAACCCACTCGCCCTCCACCTGCTCTGGCTTCGCGACCACTCCTCGGCCGTGGCGCTTGGAAAACAGTTCTGGGGTGCGGGGTCCCTCCACACATCAGTAATTGGGGCCAACTCCTCCCTTGTGCAACGCCCTCCCGGGCGCAACAGGCGCGGGAGCGGGCGCGGCGGCGCGCGCGGGATGTCGGGAGCGCGGCGTGCTGGCTGCGGCTGCGACGGCGGCGGCGGCGGCGGCCACGGCAGAGGCAGTTGCTGCGCCCGGTACTGAGGTCGCTGCGTGAGGCGCAGGCGCGGTGGACTCAGCCCTCCCCGGGCTTCGGCTCGCTGTGGGCTCGTCATGGCGACAGAGGCGAGGCCCTTCCACCTGGTGGTGTTGGGCGCGTCTGGCTTCACCGGCCAGTTCGTGGCCCAGGAGGTGGCCCGGGAGCAGGTGGTCCCGGAGCAGAGCCCCCGCCTGCCATGGGCCGTGGCGGGCCGCTCCCGGGAGAAGCTGCAGCGAGTGCTGGAGAGGGCTGCCCTGAAGCTGGGTAAGGGGCGGGGGGCGGCTTCCCGCTCGGTCCAGGGGTTCGGGTCGCCCGCAGCGAGAGTTTGTCTTTGGGGGGGGCACCCCGAGGGCTGCCCGGGCCCGCCGGACGTCAGGAGCGGTGCTTGGGGATGTGGCTTTGTGCCACTCCCCACACGAAGCACAGCAATAAATGCATGTCTCCTTTGTTGAATTCCCTCATTGGCGTGGCGGGTCCCGCTGGGCAAGCAGCCGAGGACTTCCGTTCTTCCCTGGCTGGCCCTGTCTCCCTCTTGGGCAGGGGTCCCTGGTGGGGCTGGACGGCTCTTGGTCATGGGGTCGGACGGGAAAGGAGGACATTGGTTTTCTCGGGACTGTTTGTCCTCTCCCCTCGCCTTGGGTTTTGGTGGTGGGCGAGGAAGCTTCCCAGGTTTTGGTAACGTTGTGGCCTTCGTTTTTCAATTTCTTTTTTGCTTGTAAGAATTCGCCAGCGGGCTTACTCTTTGCTGCGTTTACTTACTCTTTTAGCATTCGTTCAACATAGTTTTACTGCGTGGTCTTTTCCGTGCCGGGTCCTGTCCTAAGTGCTGGGGATACGGATGTGACGGAGCGAGACCGCACACACACACATTTAGGACTCAGGAGCCTTTAACTGTGGCTCCTGCCTACCCGAGTGTCCCTCATACAGACAGGTGCACCTGCATTCTTCTGTTTCATCTTCATCTCACTGCTGAGTCCACACTGAGCCCTTTTGCTGCCACCACCAATGTACAGAGTCTTGATCAAAGAGCTTTTTGGTGTTTTTTGTTTGTTTTACTTTTTCAGAAGAAATAATTTCACTGTTAAAATATATTCTTCCATTTCTTTTTCCTGCTCAACAAGACTGTACAGGTGCAGCCTACCTACCTAGCATCTGTAATGCCCAGGTTCAGTTATTGTGGGACATACACTTTGATCCATCAAACCTGCATTCCGCTAATTCCAGTGATTTACTTATTATAAGCCTATAATGAGTGTTCTTACCTAGACTGTGCTTTCTACCTTAGAGTCTTTTTTGTTCTCATGTTGATGTTAAGAACCCCTTTTTACCCCCGTATTTTGTCATATATAATTGGTTAGTAATTGATGAGCAACTTTTTATAATGGATTCTTGGCAGAGAGGAAATCAGGACTGTCATCTATTCAGTATCTAAATGATTGTAAAATTGTCATTTTACACAGGGTTATCATTTGCACGTTGCTTAAGTTAGATTTTTTTTTTAAGTTTAATGATTTTTTTTTTCTAGCAATCCGTAGTGTTAACTCCATTTTCCTCATAGCTTTTTCTTTTTTATTACCTAATTTTAAAAAGTTTTATCTCTTGTCAGTATATTTAGTAAATCTGCCATCCCTGATTACTATAAAAACACAATCTGGAAGATATAATACTGTATCAGGATTTGCTTCAAACAGTTATTTCTTATTTCAGGAAGACCGACACTCCCATCTGAAGTTGGAATAATAATTTGTGATATCACGAATCCAGCCTCACTAGATGAAATGGCTAAACAGGCAGCAGTTGTCCTCAATTGTGTGGGCCCAGTAAGTCATCCACCCCGTTTTGTGTCAGAACAAACAATGTATTCATTTCCAGCAGAATCTGGTATTTGATATTCCAGAGGAACATAAGGACAGGGGACAGAAGAGTTGGTTCAGGGCTTCAACTCTGTGTGGGGGAGTTTTCACTCCTCGTGAGGAGCCAGTGGATGTGACCAAAGTCTCCTGAGAGAGAGACAGGCTCTCTGTGACACCACCTCAGGGACTGGGTGCTGGGTCCTTCATTGGTTACAGCTATAACTGCCAGCTTTTTTTTTCTTACAGAATGCTTCTTAAGTAAAAAATGCTTGAGCATATATCCCTAATATATTTTTTACTTACTGATGAATGATATCCCTGTATTATTTATTCAATACATATTCATTGAATGTTTATTACATGTAAACTGCTCTAGTGTGGGTACCTGGGACATAAGGGCGAACAAAACTGAAAATCCCTCATGGAGCTTACAGTCCAGTGGGTGAGACAGAAAAATAAGGTTATAATTGTAGGTAGTGATAAGCGCTTTGAAGAAAAATCAAGCAGGGTAAGGAGACAGAGAGATTGGCGCATGAGTCTCTGTGAGGTGGATGGTCAGGACCTGACATTTGTGTTGAGCCCTGAGTGAGGTGAGGGGGTGAGGTGCAGGGGTAGCTGAGGAGAAAGTTGCTCCAGGGAAGGGCAGCTACAGACGTTCTGAAATGAACATGTGTTTGAGAGAGGGCAGAGGTTGGAAGGTAGGTGGGAGAGGAACCCAAGAGTTAGGTCAGAGGGTTTGAAGTATCGCAGAGTCTTTGAATGGTTGAAAGCAAGAGCATGAGCTGATTTACAGTTTTGTAGTTCTTTGTCTTCTGAGAGAGGAAAAAGGGGAAGTGGGAGACCCACAGGGGAGTGGTCTAGGCAAGTGGAGCACAAGATGGGGGTTTGGAAGGGTGGTGAGAGCTTTTGGAGTCAGAGGATGCTTTGAGAGGAAAACCAGCAGCTTTTGTTGTTCTGGACGTGGAGGACACACTTTTGGTTCGTGTCACAGGGTGAGTGTTGGTGGCATTTACTGATCTGAGGAAGCCATCACAATTGCCAAAACATTTGAAAACTAAGCATCTAGGAGATTGATAATAATGTTTTAAATGAAAGCAGAAAGGTTTTTTGATTATCCAGTAAAAATGTATTTAAATTGTTTAGATTAATCTCATTCCTAATTATTCCTAATTAGCTTTGGTTCTGTGCTCTCTTGCTGCAACCATTCTCTTATGTATATCCTCGGCCAGCCTCCTTGCCCTTCCCACCCCAGTGCTCTGGAGAGACCCAAAACTGGTATTTGTGTGTGTGTGTGTGTGTGTATGTATTTTATTTATTATTTATTTTTTAAGTTAGTTTCAGAGGTAGAGTTCAGTGATTCATCAGTTGCATATAACACCCTGTGCTCATTACATCATGTGCCCTCCTTAATGCCCATCACCCAGTTACCCCATTCCTCTACCCACCTCCCCTCCAGCAACCCTCAGTTTGTTCCCTAGAGTTCAGCATCTCTTATGGTTTGCCTCCCTTTCCATTTTCATCTTATTTTTCCTTCCCTTCCCCTGTAAGCCTCTGTTTTGTTTCTTAAATTCCACATGTGAGTGAAATCATACGGTATTTGTCTTTCTCTGACTGACTTATTTCGCTTAGCATAATACCCTCTAGTTCCATCCATGTCGTTGTAAATGGCAAGATTTCATTCTTTTGGATGGTTGAGTAATATTCCATTGTGTGTGTGTGTATATATACACACACACATATATATATATACCACCATTCATCTGTCGGTGGACATCTGGGCTCCTTCCACAGTTTGTCTATTGTGGACATTGCTGCTATAAACATTGGGGTGCAGGTGCCCCTTCGAATCACCCAAACTGATTTTTCCAGCTATTCCAGCTTCGTGTACCTTACCTGAACTTAAACCCCCTGTTAGCCAGTAATGCAGTAGCTCTGCATGTCTGGAGAAACATGTATTCCCTTGCTGACGGTCCTGCTTTAAATATGTGGTGACAAACCTCACGTGGGGCCTCAGCACGTCCAGCAACCCTGCTCCACTTGCCCAGACTGTTCTCTCTCCTGCTGTGTGAAGCAGCAGCTCTGTGTCCTTTTTCTTCATGTTTTTAGCCTCCCATCCCTCTTTCCTCACTCATCTGGTGATTTTATTTCCTTTTTTTTTTTTTACTATGACATTAGAAGCTGTTGAAGGAGAATTTCTTCACCTGCACACCTGCATTACCCTGACTCTGACCTACCTGTTTTGAGGAAAAACTGTCCCTGTTCCTCATGGGTGTAGGATTTGAGGACCTCATGTTGACATTTTTATCACATTTTCCCTTCTACTGGACTGTTTCTTTGCCCCCTTTTCAGCTAAACTCCTTGAAATTGTTCTCTCTCCTTCTATATCCACTTGCTCAGCTCCCACTCTATCCTAAGCCACTCTTGCCAGGCCTCTGTAAGCCTCCCTGCTTCAGGGAGCCTGCTCTGCTTCGCCCTCACCAGCTCCTCACGCTCCCCTTAATCCGAGCTCTCGGCATTTGTCCCCCTTGGTCACGTCCTCCTGCTTTTGGCTTCTGGGGTCTGGCCCTTCCCTGGTTTTCCGCCAGCTCTGTCCCCATCCCTTCTGTTGGATCTTCTCATCTTCCTCTAAGTATCAGAGGCTCAGAGCTCGAACCTTACAAACTCTTCTCTGTTTACACTCTCGGAGCCAGGCTTTTAAAAAGTATATTATTAGTATTGTAATAAAATACACATAACCAAAATGACTATTTTAGCCATTTCTCAGTGTATGAATCAGTGGCATTTGGTACATTGACAGTGTTGTGTAACCCTCACCATCTTATCTCCAGAATTTGTCATCATCCCAGACAGAAACTCTAACTGGGTCAGGTTTGTTTTCATTTGTGTTTTTTTTGAAGAGAGATCTTTGGTGCTTCCTACCTGACTATTTTGGGCCAGCATTTTTGAACAGCGTAGTGTAGTGAGTGAGACTCAAGCATTAAAAAGAAGAAGACGATCAGATAGCCTAGAATAGAAAGTAGCGTGAATTATACATAATATGGGTAAGTGCTGGTTCATGAAATTTGCGTTTCAGTTTGATATATTTGTGTATATATAGGCTGCCACGTGAAGTGGATTTCTCAGCGTGGGTTGTGGTCAAAAAGGTTTTGAATGCCATTTGTATGCTGATGATGCCAACATTACTTCCAGTGAGGACTGCCCCCTAAACTCCAGATTGGTAGATCCAGCTACCTTCTTGATGTTTCCACTTGGATGGTTTATGGGCATGAGTCTCTAGGTTTTTGCCCCCAAACCTGCTCCTTCCTAGGCTCTCCTGGGATTGGCATTTTTCACTTTGCCAGTTTGGGATCATTACCGGTTTCTTTGCAGGTTTTTCTTTGTTTTTACTTCTTTGTCCATTTTGTGATGATTTATTTGTTAAAAAACAGATGATATCTGTAAAACTACTTAGGCATATGTAAACAAGCATTAGGTTGAAATATACCTAAAATGAATGAATGAGGGAGTTGCTGTGGGCCCCTCTGCATGTGGGACGCTCCCACGCTGCCCTCAGAGTCCCTTGTGTGGCTTTCATTCAACAAGGGACCACATCACGTGGCCCAAGGAACATGCCCAAGTCAATTCATGTATTAACTGTTAATAAAACTTCATTTTTTTCTTTGTGTTTCCTATAAAAAGTAGCATGAATAAACATACTGATATTTATTTCCATAACTGAGGGAATGGGTCTGTGGGCCCCTTGATGCAAGCCTGCCCACGTAGGAGACCCCCTGTGTTAGAACATGGAATGCTGAGAACAGTATTCGGTTTTGATCTGTAAGCTAATTGGCTTTGCTGGGGAGAAATGTCTCCTCTGAGATCAAGGATTGTTACCATTTGTCCATTTATCTCATAAAAGCACAAGGGTAGAAAGTAGAGAAAAAACAAAAAAAAAAATGTATCAACATAAGGACATTAGTGCCGAAGTCTCAACCTCAGATTGCCTGGAGGAGAGAGAAGGTGGGCCAGTTGAGACGGAATACAATGTGGGGAGTGGGGGGATTGTGGCGAATAGGGAGGCGCATACTCTTTCCAGAAGGAGCTGTTACTATTTCAAAAAGCTCATTAATGCTTTACTGCAGCTCACCAGTACTTCTAGATGAACCGAGTAGCTGACAGGCTGTAGCTCACTATCTGAGCATGGGGAGTTAACCCAAGGCCAGAAGGCTGATACTGGAGGGGTCAGGAGCTAACCTGGCAGCTAGAGCAGAGGAGGGGGTTCCAGGTAGTGGAGGGTGAAGAAATAGCACGATTAGGAAACTATAGGGAGTTGCAAGCTGCTAGAATATGGGGATGAAGGGGTTGTGTGACCTGATGCTTTTTGTGACATGCTAAGACATTTGGACTTCACACTATAGTAAATACAGGCACTGCAGAGCTAGCGAAGGATTTTAAGAGGTATACATGTGTACATATGCACGTGCGTGCCTGTGTGTGTGTGTGTGTGTGTGTGTGTACGTGATAGAAGCAAAGATGACATCAGATTGTTATTTTAGAATAATAATTTGGTGTTTCTTTGGACATGGAGCTACCTTGGCTGCAAGGAAGCCAGGTACTGTGTGTAGTAAATTGCATGAGAGGTGGTAAGGGTGTGAACTCAGATTTGGATGTGTAGAGGGGAGGGAACTGATCTGAGATTTTTAGGGAACTAATTCGATAAAACTTGGTGACTTCCAGGGTAGGTGGAGTCAAAACAGCTTCTGCGTTTCTCACTTGAGAATTTTGTGGAGAGTGACGCCATTCACAGCAACAAAGAAACGTTCTTCTCTTCCTGTTAGTCTTCATTTTGGCTAATAGGACCAGTAGCCCCGTGTCCGTTGGCCCCGTTGTCTGTCTAATCAGCAAGCCCAGTCATTTCTACCTCTTTAATAATCTCATCCTTGGTGTATCCATCCCCTTCTTCGTTTAGCCCTTTGTCATTTCTTCCAGCCATGGGTTTCGTTTTCTGGTAGTGTGGGCAGAGTGACGTGTGTTTTCTAGAAGTCTTACACCACTGTCCTATTTAAAATTCTCCAGGAGAGCCTAGTAATCCTGATCTGGCCCCAGCGTTCCTTTCCAGGTCCATCTCTCGTCACTTCCCTTTCAACTACTCTGAGCTTTGGGTGCCTTTACCCTTTCTCACACCTTCACATATACTTTTCCCTTTTCTGGATTTTTCTTTTTCCTGGCAAATCCTTATTCTTCAGAATTCAACTCAAATGAATCACTTGTTCTATAAAACTTACCATTTGGTTTTCAGTTAGAGGTTAGCACATGTTCCTTTAATTCCATCATGCCTTCCTTTACACTGAAAAGTGGCATGGCGCTGTTACGTGATTTTCCTCAATTTATCTTTTGGCTCCTTTATTAATATTTGATTCTTTTTTTAAAGATTTTATTTATTTATTTGAGAGAGAGAGAATGAGAGACAGAGAGCGTGAGAGAAAGGAGGGTCAGAGGGAGAAGCAGACTCCCCGCTGAGCAGGGAGCCCGATGCGGGACTCGATCCAGGGACTCCAGGATCATGACCTGAGCCGAAGGCAGTCGCTTAACCAACTGAGCCACCCAGGCGCCCCAATATTTGATTCTTTTTTTTTTTTTTCCAATATTTGATTCTTAATAACCAAGACTGTACTTGCAAAACTCAGTGGTATTTCATTCAAGATTGCTAAGTAAGGGGCGCCTGGGTGGCTCAGTTAGTTCTGTGTCCGACTCTTGATTTAGGCTCAGGTCATGATCTCAGGGTCATGGGATCGAGCCCCAAGTTGGGCTCTGCGCTCAGCCCAGAGTCTGTGTGAGATTCTCTCTCTCCCTCTGCCCTGCCCCCCTATGTGCATGCATGCTCTCTCTCAAATAAATAAATCTTCAAGCTTGCTAAGTAAGAGTAAACAGTTGGTTTTCTTTATTCCCCCCAGTATCGATTTTATGGAGAACCTGTAGTAAAAGCATGTATTGAAAATGGAACCAGCTGTATTGACATCTGTGGAGAACCTCAGGTATGTAAAATGGAAAAGAAAGAATGGCATTAACAACACAACTTTCTGTTAGAGTGGAAAATATTTAGTGCCGCCTTGCAGACTATTTTAGAAGTCGGTGACTCCTCCCTCGTGCTGATGGCTTGAAGGAGAGTGCGATAGTCAGGTCTTTTCTTCTGTTTTCTTGAAGTTTTTTCTTCCTTACCACCTCATTTATTCCAGGTCTTTTGTATGTAGGATGTGCTGGTTTCTGTAGCTGCCCCATGCTGTGAAAGGGTTTAATTAAAATGGTGCGCTATGTGTAAATTCTTTGAATCTCACTTTTTCTTATGAATTCCGTTTTTTTGTCAGACACCTTTATAACAATGCAGAAAAGGAAGTGTAAAATCCTCCAAACGTAAACATTTTAGATATTCACACTTGAGTGCTCACCCCACACCTGACACTCTGCTAATACAGCATTTTATGTCTGAATGTTCCACATTCCCATAAAGTCGGTATCGTCTTGCCTATTTTGTGGATGAGGAAACTGAAGCTGAGGGGGGTTAAGTCATGCAGCTCAGAGTCCTGCCACCACTCAGTAGAAGAACAGGACTCCAACTGAGGTTTGCCTGATTGCAGGAAGTGGATGTCAGTAAGCACCAAGCTACCCCAGCTCCTTGAAAACCGTCACCTCATCTGTCCCTGTGGTTTCTGCTGTTATCATCACCAATATGCCAATATAGTAACGTACTGGAAAATACTAGGAAAGTGTGAATTACCAAAAGTGATTCAAGAAGAGGTAGGAAACCTGAATGAAACAGAAACCAATTCCTGTCTTATTTAAAAAAAAAAAAAAAATCCCAGAGCAAAGAAAATGATGAAACATTTCTAAGGTATCCTATAAACCACAATAAAAGTGATATCAAAACCTAGTAAAGATCCAGACTATATAAAGGACTCTTAAAAGGCAATAATACAAATTCAAATCACCCAATTAAAAATGGGAAAAGGGATGAGTAGAGACAAATGTTCTGTGCAGAAGAATCCCAAAAAGCTTGTGTAACTACTCCACCCTCGAGGAGGGGAGCATGACTCATCACCCCTTCTTTGGGCACCACACATGGTCACTCCCTCCCCAAAAGAACAGTATGGATGGAAGGGAAGAAGAGAATAACTTTATGGTGGCGAAACCTGACAAATACTACCTCAGCCAGGTGTTTAGGGCCACCATCCACACTGATAAGTCACGGTGATGGTATGTACCCTTGATAGAATGTCACAAAATGCACTTTACCCCTGCGGTCTCCCCTCCCTCCTCAAAGCAGTAATTCCACGCTAGTAAGGAGAAAAATTCCAGTAGAGGGGCATGCTACAAAATACCTGATCAAAGTTCTCAAAACTATCAGGGTCCTGAGAGTCCGAGGAGACTGTCACAGCTCCCAAGAGGAGCCTTGGGACACATGACAGCTAAATGTAATGTGGCATCCTGGTGGAGAAAAAGGACATTAGGTAAAAACTAGGGAAATCTGGATAAAGTATCGTCTTTGGCTAATGATAATGTTATCAATATTCATTCATTAAGTGTAGCAGATGTTAATGGAAAAGCTCTAACAATAGGAGAAACTGGGTCGGGGTACATGGGAACTCTCCACTACTCAAATTTTCTGTGAATCTTTTCTGTGAATCTAAAACTGTTGTAAAAGTAATTTCTAAAAACAGAGGACTTGAACAGACATTATTCTCCTCTTCCATCCCCTCCTCTCCTACCACTTTCTTCATCCTAACTAAATATATGTGTGCCGATGCATGTCTCTAATAATGTCCCTCTGAGGAATACGATTTGGGTGATGTTTTCTTGCTGTCTTTGTATTTTTTTGTATATTAATTCAGGTTTTCATAATATTACTTTTGCATTTAAAACTCATTCTGAAAAAGTTACTAGTGTCATAAGTCAGATCAGCCTGTGCCCCACACTGCTTGGCACGTGGTAGATACACAGTAAATATTTGCCAAATAAGTGAAAAACATTTCCACAGTTAATATTTTACTAAAAGTCACATTGGTTAGCATTTTCAAAATGTAATTCCTTTGTCTTTTAAGGTCTATCATTTAATGCTGATTTAAATATTTCTGTATAGCTCTGATTCAGATTTTTGTCCTGAATTTTTTAGTTTCTGGAATTAATGTATTGGAAGTATCATGAGAAAGCTGCAGAAAAAGGGTCTTATATCATTGGAAGCAGTGGTTTTGACTCCATTCCAGCAGATCTGGGCGTAATATATACCAGAAATAAGATGAACGGTAACTATCAATCACTAAGCAGTAATTGAATTTAACAATAGAAAATCTTCAGGTTTATAACTGTGATGAACTAAAAACTAGTTGGGAAGAGAAACATAACTATAAATGGGTAATGTTAAACACATGATTTGTTCAGGGCATCTGGGTGGCTCAGTGGGTTAGGCATCCAAATTTTGATTTCGTCTGGGTTGTGATCTCAGGGTTGTGGGATCAAGCCCTGTGTCAGGCTCTGCGCTGGGTGTGGAGCCTGCTTGGGACTCTTTCTCCTCCTACCCCCGCTCTCCCTCTCTAAAAAAAAATAAAAATTAAAAAAAATTTAAAAATAAAAAAACTCCACATGCTTTAGTGTTTAATACAGCTATACTTGTTATAAAATCCTATTGACACAATTTTTTGAGATGTGGTTAGTACTGTGTGTATTCCAAAGTGAGGAATTATCTATTGTCTCAACTTAGTTATGGTTAAAACAGTAAAATTTCTGGAAAAAGAATTTCTGACAGCCATTATAATTCAAACTTGCTTGGTTTAGGAACTAACACATTTAAGAATATAATTTTTGAAGCTATTATAATTAAAGGTTTAACTTTTTTTAAAGATTTTATTTATTTGAGAGAGAGCGAGCGAGAGAGAAAGAGAGCATGAACTAGGGGAGAGGCAAAAGGAGAGGGAGAGACAGACTCCCACTGAGCAGGGAGCCCAATATGAGGCTCGATCCCAGGACCCTGAGATCCCTGAGATCATGACCAGAGCCGAGGGCAGACACTTAACTGACTGAGTCTCCCACGTGCCCTATTATGCTCTTGAAAGCTTTTTGATGTAAATAATACCAGTTTAGAACTAAAAACCCTTTATCTTAAAAAAAAAAAAAAGAAAAGAAAAATCAATATTATGGTAAAATAATGGAAGTTCCTAATGCCATGCATGTTTTAAAAGGGTCCATTTAGGGCGCCTGGGTGGCTCAGATGGTTAAGCATCTGCCTTCGGCTCAGGTCATGATCCCGGGGTCCTGGGATCGAGCCCCATATGGGGCTCCCTGCT